GAAGGAAGGAAGGAAGGAAGGAAGGAAGGAAGGAAGGAAGGAAGGAAAGAAAAGTAAGGAGGCAGGGAGAAGAGAAGGAGGAAGGAATGTAGGAAGTTATTGATGAAGAGGAAGGGAGGAAGAATGATCTTAGGAAGGAAGAAAGGAGGAAATAGGGAAGGAGGAAGACTGATAAGGGAGAAGGGGGAGAGAAAGGAAAAGTAGGGGAAGAAGGGAGGGAGGATGGATGGATGGAAGGAAGGAAGGAAGCTAGCAATAGCACCCTTAGACTTATGTACTGCTTCACAGTGCTTTCCAGTCCTCTCTGAGTGTCAGCCTGTCACCCCCAACAATCTGGGTCCTCATTTTACCCACCTCGGAAGGAGGGAAGGCTGAGGTCACCTTGAGCTGCTGAGAACTGAACTGCTAGCCGTGAGCAGAGTTGTCCTGCAATACTGCGTTCTAACCACCGCACCATCACAGCTCCTTCCTTCCTTACTTCCCAATATCACTTAAGATATATACCGCTTCATAATGCTTTACAGCCCCCCTTGAAGCAGTTTATAGAGTCAGCCTTTTGCCCCCAACAATCTGAGTCCTCATGTTACCCACCTTGGAAAAGACGGAAGGCTGAGTCAACCTTGAGCTGGTCAGGATCGAACTCCTGGCTGTGGGCAGTGAGTTATGCGGCAATATTGTTTTCTAACGACTGTGACACCTCTCCTTCCTTCCTTCCTTCCTTCCTTCCTTCCTTCCTTCCTTCCTTCCTTCCTTCCTTCCCAACAGACTTATATACTGCTTCACAGCCCTCTCTAAGTGGTTTGCAGAGTCAGCCTCTTGCCCCCAACAATCTGGGTCCTCATTTTACCCACCTCGGGAAGGATGGAAGGCTGAGTCCACCCTGATTGACTCAATCTGAACTGCCAAATTACAGTCAGCAGGCATAGCCTGCGCTCTAACCACTGTGCCACCACGGCTCTTAAAAACGGAGATAACTAAAGACACAACCACTTACTGGTACACAGCATAGATGTAGAGCGTATCCGTAGCGATCACTGACAGCCTCTGGAAAAGGATGGTCATTTGGCTGGCATAGTTGAGGTTCTGTACGGACAACATCTCTTTGTCAAAGTACACCGCAGCATAGGAGAGCATACACTCGAACCAGGCAAAAAAGGGAGGGTAATCCAAGGTCCATTCAGAAGTTGCCTGAAATTAAGAAACAATAAAAAATAAAATTAAAAATAGGCAACAGAAATCTACAGGAAAAGGCACGAGAGGATTGTATGTTTCAAGCTTTAGCATCCTGTTCAGGTCACCAAATCCCCAAGTTTGGCAGGGTCATTTAAGTCTTCAAGTTTGGTGCGTTGGCCTAGAGGTGGAGCTCTCGCCTCACAATCAGGAGGCGGTGAGTTCAATCCCAGGTAGAGGCAGATATTTCCCTCTCTGGACACAATGAGAATATATCTGCTGAACAAAACTCCGCACTGGCGACAGAAAGGGCATCCGGCCAGGAAATACTCAGCTCCATTCTGATGCCCAGATTCCACCCCGCAGGGGATTATGGGGTCATTAAAACAAGATGATGATTCAAGTCATCAAGTTAATCTCCCAGCTTAGTGCAAAAACCCGATGTCCTATTTTCAGCAGGTGGCTGGAAAGGGATTCTACCATCGACCGTGATAACCGGTTCTGCTCTCAAATAGTTCTCACTGCTAAAGTTTTTTAAAAAATATAATTTGAATGTCTGAAGCCGTTTCTTTTCGGGGGGAACACTTGGTGCTTCCTTGTGGTTTTTTTAAATAATAATTTAATATTTTCATTTTTTAAGATTTGTATTTCACCTTTATAACTTTGTAAATAACTTAAGGCAGTGAAGACACTGAATACTTCTTCCTCCTTTCCCCACCACCACAATCCTGTGAGGTGGGTTGGGTAGAGAGAGAGTGACTGGCCTGAAGTCAGCGAGCCAGGTTTTCACGCCTAAGGTAGGACTAGAACTCAAAGTCTCCTGGTGATTGGCCCCAAGTCACCCAGTTGGCTTTCATGCCTAAGGCGGGACTAGAACTCTCAGTCTCCTGGTGATTGGCCCAAAGTCTGGCTTTCGTGGCTAAGGTGGGACTAGAACTGTCACCTGGTGACTATCATTAAGTGTTGTACCTTATGATTCTCAACTCTTGATGAAAGTATCTTTTCTTTTATGTATACTGAGAGTATTTACACCAAGACAAATTTCTTGTGTGTCCAATCACACTTGGCCAATAAAGAATTCTATTCTATTCTATCCTATATTCTATTCTAGATTCTATTCTATTCTAATTAGCTCAAAATCACCCAGCGGGCTTTCATGGCTAAGATGAGACTAGAACTCACCGTCTCCTGGTGATTGGCTCAAAGTCACCCAGTTGGCTTTCATGCCTAAGGCGGGACCAGAATTCACCAACCCACTTTCATGTCTAAGCTGGGACTAGAATTCAGACTCCTGTTTTTCTAACCTGAAGCCTTAACCACTAGGTTAAAATGGCTCTCAATCGTATTGGCTATAATTACTGATTACAATAATAAAAGATTAATACAGGATAAAAAGGAAAGAAAAAAAGGCTTGGAAAAAAAATGCAAAACAAACTTTTAAAAGGACAGTATAAGTTAGCTCCCTTTAAAAAAAATTTTTTTTGCAAGATTCAAGGAATCGGAAGAATTGCCCGGAATTTGTTTAAACGTGGGAGCGCAAACTTACCCAAATTATTGCAAACCGGTCGGTTGTTGCTATTCTTGTTTGTGTAAAGGGGAACGATCTGGATCAGTTCGCTGGGCTAATCCAGAGAGAGACCTTCACTTTTAATCTAGGAAGGCTGACAGGACAGGCAAAAGAGGCTGCAATTGCCTGCTTGGGAGGTTTGTTCAGCTTCCAGGGACAAGCAGATCTTAAAAGCAAAACTTGCCGGTTAAACTATCTGTGGGTAGATTCAGAAACCGGACGAGCAAAGCTTCTAACACACCTTGTTTTGGAGGAGAATACAGGTAGTCCTCGACTTATAACTGTTTGAAGATACTGTGTTTCCCTGAAAATAAGACCCTGTCTTATATATTTTTTGACACCAAAAAAAGGCACCAGGTCTTATTTTGGGGGGATGTCATCCACTGACTAACCTCACGGGTGTATGTCACCCCCAGCCTCCTTTTCGCTGTCAGAGGCCTTCAGGAACTACTATTTCTGTGGCCGGCAAAGCTTTCCTGAAGGCCTCTGCAGCCGATAACAGAACTCTGGATCAATCCAGAGCTTTGTTATCAGCTCCAGAGGCCTTCAGGAAAGCCTGAACAGCCTTGCCGGCTGCAGAAGAAATGGGCTGGCAAGGCAGGTGTCAGGATGTGCGAGGCCGGGCTACACCTGTCCAAAGGTTAGTAGTAGGGCAGCTCCACGCTCCCATAGCTGAATTTTTACCCATCCACTCTGGAGAGGGCAGGATCTTAATTAGGGCTTATATTGTAAAAATCAAGTTAGGACTTATTTTCAGGGTAGGTCATATTTTCAGGGAAACAGGGTACTAACAACACCAAAAAAAGGGACTTAACAACCATTTTTTCGCAGTTATGACCTTTGAAGCATCCCCATGATGATGGGGTCAAAATTCAGATGTTTGGCAACTGGTTCACCCTTACAACCGCTGCTGTGTTCCAGGGTCACGTGATTCCCTTTTGTGACCTTCTGACAAGAGAAGTCAACAGGGAGGCCAGATTCACTTAACAACCAGGTTTTACCAACTTATCAACTGCAGCGATTCACTTAACTAGTGTGGCAAGAAAGATGGTAAAATGGGGCAAAACTCCAAAAATGTCTCACTTAGCAACGGAAATCCTGGCCTCAAATGTTGTTGGAAGTCGAGGACTACCTGTACAGGTAGTTTTTTTAGTGACTGTTTGAAGATACAAAAGCACTGAAAAAAGTGAGTTTAGTTTTTTCACATTTAGAACCACTGCAGCAACCCCACGGTCCAAAATTCAGACACTTGGCAACTGACTCAGATTTATGACGGTTGCAGTGTCCCAGGATAATGACATCCCCCCTTTGAGGCCTTCTGAGCAGCAAAGTCTACAAATCCAAGCTATTTCAGGCCATGAAACAATAAAACACTCACCTCATAGTACCACCGAGAGGCTGGTAGGCTGTGAGTAATGGCAAGCCAGTTCCTGTGCACTTCAAAATCTGTGGAATGACTACAAGGAGTTAACCGTTAGTATCGAGATAGAGACCTACAGAGATTCTCAGTCATCCAGGTCATGGTTCTCCCATAGGTGCTTTTTCAAAAGGTAACTGGAGTTCCTGGATTATTATTATTTTTTTGAAGACGTTTCACTTCTCATCCAAAAAGCTTTTTCAGCTCTGACTGTATGGTGGGGAACGGAAGGATTTATGCCTCTTGCAGACAGCTGGTCATTTGCATCCTTTTTAGAGGGTCATTGAGACCATTTGGAGCTTTGTCTGTGTCCTCAGGGACACCTGAGTGGTGCAAATGGGTGTGGAGCCTTCTTGACAGCTCCACAACACGATCCTTTCAGCAGTTCCAAGAAGGCTCCACACCCATCTGAGTCCTCATTTTGCCGACCTCAGAAGGACTGAAGGCTGCATCAACCATGAGTTGATGAGAATCAAACTGCCGACAGCCAGCAGTCAGCAGAAGTAGCCTGCAGTACTGCATTCTAACCACAGCGCCATCATGGCTAATCTACCATCCATACTTATTGTACCCTATGACTATTATTATTAATTGTTGTACCTGATGATTCTTGACTCTTGACGAATGTCTCTTTTCATTTTTATGTACACTGAGAGCATTTGCACCAAGACAAATTCCTTGTGTGTCCAATCACACTTGGCCAATAAAGAATTCTATTCTATTCTATTCTATTCTATTCTATTCTATTCTATTCTAT